CCTCCCTTTTTGAGATCTGTTGTTCATGGGATTGTAAGAGGCTGAATTAAGTCTAATTTAGGTACTTACACTAGTTGCAAAAAATTACATTGAATGATTTATTTGTTTTATAGCTGTATTAATTTGTGTATATAATATGTGCATGGAGCTCAGCTTTCATGCTATTGTTCTCTGCAGCTCATGCAATGTGGGTTTGAGTTGAAAACAAATGTGTTGCAGATCACAAGAATAATCACAAATATAAGTGTGGAGACATAAAAGTCATGACATTTTACAAGGGGGCAAAAAAGACAAAGCAGTCAGGAGAAAGCAATGTGATGGGAGGGGTGGTATCACTGGAGGAAGAATACTCATAAAACCTTGGATAGTCATGTAGGAAAACAGAATTAACACTGAGTCCATCTGCACTGACCCATTTGTTGTCAAACGAAATAATCTTTTTTTCAGTTCAAGGGGTTTACAGTTTCCTTTCAAAACCTTCATTTTTAATCCTTTATAGCCCAGTCTGGTTGTTAGGAATATTATACACTGCAAAAAAAACAGAAATAGGATTGTCTTATAATAAAAGTATCTGTGCTGTTTGTGATATATTTATTTTGTAACACAAAGTATAATTTATTTAACCAATTGAGCCACAGGTTTTTTTTCTTTATAACACCCTTGACAACCTTATATCATGTAGGTGTTGCAGTCTACCGTACATACATAATTTTCTGGGGACTGATAGGGCTTTAATTTGATAGATTTGAACACATATATTTTCATTTTATAGGTTTTAATTAGGAAGAAGTTGTGAAAAACTTAAAAAAACAAATATTTTCCAAAAGATCTTAACAATGCAACTTTTACATAATTAGCGCAGTCCCGCATATGTAACCCAAAATCTAACCACCTACTCAATAAAAGGATATCACATAAGTATAATTTTTTTAAATGAAACATAAAATGAAAAAACGCAAAGCAAAGGTTTGCATTTTACTTTGACAACTTTATTCCCCTTTCGTAGATACGTTGCATGCACTCAGGAAAAAAATTATCGGTTTGTGTCCATTGTTAGCATAACAGATAAGATCGAGTCAGGTTGGTGAGGACACAGATTAGCATGATGGCAACTTTTTTATAGGTTTGTAAACGCTAAAATTCAAAATGACTTTGCATTTGCTTACGCAAGCATTTGACACTTACGCAGCAAATGCAAATGTCATTCAGATCATGAGGCTTCATTGTTGGAAAATTTGGATAGATCTGTGGAGGGGAAAAAAATATCTATCTATCTATCTATCTATCTATCTATCTATCTATCTATCTATCTATCTATCTATCTAGATATCTATCTAGATATATCTATATAT